TCCATGGGAGAGTGACAGCAGCAAAAGCCACAAATAATTCATAACATGAAAGTCGGGACATTTAATTTTTGGCTTCTTGTTAGCATTTGGCATTTGTGCACATGCTCAGTTGCCACTTCTCTTGTGCTCCAGTACAGAGGTTTTGGAAGCTGTTAGTTCTAGAAAAGGTGATTATAGGCCTTCGAGATCATATTGGATAAGGGACCACAATTCTTTTCTTTCCTCTTGACTGGAAGAAGCCAAGTTGCTGAATCCAGTGCTTTGTCCTGTGGCACTCCTTGTCCTTGATTGGGCAATGGGAAAAAAGAACCTGTGCAGGAATTCCTGGTGCTCCACAACCAACAGGTGATGGACTGAGTGCCTCAGGGACCAGATTCCTGGCAAGGTGCTCCAACTATTCCATGATTCTGTGAACCCTTCCCAGGGCAGCCCTAGCACAGGGTGAGGCTGTGTGTGTGTGTCTCTGTGGCTGCAGCAGCCAAGTCAGCAATTCCTGGGATGTCTGCTGATTCCTTCTATCCATGTCCCTGAGGCATGTGCTATGGAGTTGAGACAGTGGTTTATGGCTGAAATACAGAAATAATTGACAGTGAACGCCACCAAGGCTGATCTGTGAGGTGATACGGAAGGTGAAACTTGGAATTAAAAAACCTCTATCTTATTCGTGTTTGCCACGTGCTCTGGAACTGTTGCTGCCAGACATGAATTTCCCATTATTAAAAAACTTCTTTCCTTATTCACTGAGCTCATTGCTCAAAGAAGGGGGCAGTGAACTTGAGAATGGGGTGTGCAACAGCACAAATAGAAGTGTCCTGCTGAGGGAAGATTGCTGGGAAGGAGATTACAGCAGCATTTATCAGAAACACGATGGGAGCTGTTTGCTGACAACACCAGCAGCTCGTGATGCTGCCGTGGCAGCAGCAAAGGGCCACAGCAGTCGGCACCTGCTGGAGCTCCAACCTGGACTGAGATCCTGTTCTACTGGGTCTGGATCCCAAAAGCACCTCCTGGAGGGGCCCTTCCACCACTGTGTGATGGGGACACATTCAGCACATGCCCCTGTCTGGTGGGATTCAGCTGGTGCAAAGCATTTCCTTAGAGAGGAATTTGGCTTTTCACGTGTCTCCGGTGTCAGCTGTGGATTGCTGCCCTCTAAAATTTAGTGCAACTTAGTTAACATCTTCCTGGCCGCTGCCAAAAACTGGAGTCAGCCCCGTCAGATTGATTTTCACTGAGCTGTTGCAGTCACTGGAGCTGCTGAGGAGGATCTCAGCCATATGGCACGAGGTGCTGCAGGGGGGACTCCCGTGACACAGCGAGCGTGGCTGGAGATGCTGAACTGACACGTGCAGGGGTCACGGATCTGGAGCAGGGAGAGGACTGGGCACTGGAGTGTGGCACAGGAGGCCACAGTAAACCCCCTGGAGGACACAAAGTGGTCAGTACTTGTGGTGGAGGCCCCAGCACGTCCCCACCCGAGGAGGAGGAAACCAGGAGTGTCAGGTATTTGCACCTCACTGTGCAGACCCAGCCCTTCTGCTCAGCACTGGGGTGGGGTCCAGCCGACAGGGCTGCAAGTCCCATGTTATTCCTTCAACTCCCAGCAAAAAAAGGCTCTGACTGAGAGTGTTGAGGGACAAGTCCCACCCTGCTCAGCACCTGCAGCTCCCCTCGAGTGTCCCTCACAGCCGAGGACACGCCGGGGGCTGTTGGCAGAGAAAACCCTCCTTTTGGGCAGCCAGGCTGTGTGGTGAGATCACTGAGGGCTGGTCACTCCTGGAACACGTGTGGGCAGGGAGAGTCACAGTGGAACGAAGTGATTAGAAATACATAAATATTAATTGCTTATGAACTCCCTTTATGACACTTGCAGGCAGAAGAAGTTAATAAATCACTGCTGGGATTAGCCCACAGAAGGGCAATGCAGAGTGTATCTGAGAGGAGACAGGAGCGGGGAAGGGGAGCTTTTCTGGAGAGGAGGAAGCACTGTTTTAGGCCAGGCCCCAACAGCACAAAGCTGTTTCCTTTTTGCCAGGGTTCTGTGTCTGGAGTTTGCCTCTTGCTGCAGGGGGGAGCCTTTGCAGCTGAGCACAGATGCCATCAGGCTCTGTACCAGTCCCTCTGTAGGAACCAGACATTTAGTTCTTGCATGTAGCAGGGTCCCTGTGCAGATCCCCAGGGAAATATCTGCCCTGGACCTCCCTATGGTCTGGGTGTGAGCCCAGCCAGTGCCACCCCGGGCACTGAGGCAGCTTTAAAACCTCATTAATTTCACTCTGTGTTTCCTGGACATCCTTTGGCAGCTGCTGAGAAGGGAAAGAGACTTTTGCTCTTCAGTTGCATTTCTGAGGGGCAGGTAGCAGTCTGTTTTCTCAAGTCTGGTACTTGAGTTTAAACTTGTCCCAGGGCTGTCTTGGTTTCAGTGCCAACTTTGCAAGGGTGATTTGTATAAATGGGTGCTGGTAGTGGATTGCTTGTGTGCAAATCTACCTTGCTAAGGTGAATCTGTTATTTTTTTGTCAAAATTTAATTTTGCTCAGAGCAGTTATTGTTACCAGAGCTTTCTAATTATTTTTAATAGCCAAGCTTACATCTGCTTGAATCCTTGCAGCAGTTTAGCCTAATATATTCATGCAAAAGCATGAAGGAGGCTTTTCTTCCGTTTGTTCTCCCGTTCCCCCTAATCCCCATTCCTCTCTCCTCTGCCTCGCTGTCCTTTTCATCACTGTGAAAAAGCAAGGCCTGGGAAGAGCAGCAGTGGAACCCTGTGCCAGGATCCTGGGCATGAGGACACCCCTGTGCCCAGCGAAGGGACTCTGCCATCCTGCAGGCTGGGGCAGTGCCAGGCTTGCTGCCCTTCCCATGGGCACAGGGAGCTCCCAGGGAAGCAGGACTCGCCTGTGCAAGCAGTGCTTGAAGCCAGGCAGGAGGAGGTCACCCAACTGCTCCGGGGCAGAAGGGTCATCCCGGTGGTTCCATGGGAGTGAGGCAGCTTGGGGACAGCAGCAGGTCCCAAATTGTGCTGCACAACAGTCACAGCATCAGCACAACCACCGTGTTCTCCTGGTGCTGAACCCCTGATGTCGAGGGGAACACGTCCCACACCTGTATCAGAAGTTCCTGCTCAGAGAAACACCCGAGATCCTGTTCCTGGATGAGCCTGTTCAGCCCCTGCTGCTGTAGAGGGGGACAGATGATTCCATTTGATGAGGCAGGATAGACCTGGGCTCTGTTATCAGAGCACAGAGAGCTGGACTAGTACAGAGAAGCTTTTGATTTACTCTGATTTTTGCAGCGAGGGTTTGTGCTGTGAGCATTGCAGGCTGCATGCAAATGAAGGCGACGTTACCTGACTCTGGCCTGGTTGCTGGATTGAGGTTTAATGAGATTCTTTGGTTTGCCTTGTGTCAATCTGTTGTAGTTAAGTGAGATTTTTTCCCCCTACTGTGTTTTGCCTTTGATGCAATTTTGCAACACTTCTTGTACTCCTAAAAGGGCCTTTTGGTGTCTTTGAAAGTTTCTCAGTGCAACATCTCTCTGGACAGAGTAAATGAAGATTAAGCCTCGGCAGATAGCAAGAGAAAACAAGCAAATGTCTTTGCAGAATCAAAATGCAAGGGCAGCAGTGGAGGAGCTCTGAGGTTTGTGTCTTTTGTCTGGGAAACCAGAACACTTGAACAAACCTTTTCCTGGAGCTGGGAGCTGACTGGTCTCTCCAGGCTGGGAGTCTCTGATCTCAACTCAGCTGCTGGTTTCCATAAAATGTGCAGGGACCCCAATAACTGTGGGGCAGCAGGACACTGGGGATTGGGCACAACCACCTCCAGCTCTGCTGTGCAGCCCGGCACTGACCAGCCTTTCTCCACCTGACTTTGTCTGCTGATGAGATCTCATTCATTGCCTGTTCATTGCCATACTGTTTGTCTTCCCAATCAGTGGAATAAACTCTATAAAATCTCTATTATCAGTCTTCATTATGCCCAGGTTTGTTATGATTGTGAATTAATAGACTTTATCTTGGCATAAGTCAGAAGGCATCAGCCTCTCTTTTCCCTCCTAATTTGCACAGGGATTAGTTTTAAATATTCTCTCTATGAAGCCGCTTCTGTTGTTTTCTGGCTCTGCTTGGGTTCAGTCTGTTTTAAGCCTCAGTGTTCCTGAAATGCCTCTTCATTATGAGTTCAGAGGAGGAGGAATGTGTTCCTGTGAACCAGGGCGCTCAGCAAGCTGGTTTTGTAGGGGCAGGTGTCCTCGTTGTAGGTGAAGTGTCCTCGTTGTAGGTGCAAGTGTCCCCGTTGGAAGTTCTGGGGAACACACAAGTGTTTAAACAGCTGCTGGAGAACAGCCCAGCCCAGCCCAGTAAATCACCTGAGCAGTTTCCTTTAGTGCCTAAATTGAGGAATCCAGCAGAATGCCCCTCCAGCTTAAACCCACCTTTCCCCAGGTTGTGATGCTGTTTGCCTTTTCTGTGAAACTCCACAAACTCCTCAGTGTTGTACAACAAACGGTTGAGTGTGTTCCGAGCTGTGAGCCATCTCTGCTGCAGCTGGTTCTGTATGGGGTGTTTCCAGCTGGGAGAGGTGACAGAGAGGAGCAGCCATTCACGAGTAGCTCACACGTGGATATCATGGCAGGGAAGGGGTGCCCTGCCTGTGGCCGAAGGTGTTCAGGGCTCGGGTGCTCCTTGGGCACAGGGGTGTGTCCGGCTGCCCCCCCTGCAGCGGGGAAGGGGACACACCACGGGTCCCCAGCAGGAACTGCCCAGGGCGAGGAACAAACACTTGGCACGAGCTGGTGGTGGATAAACCTGGGGACTCTGGATGGGAGGTGCTGGGGGCACGTGCAGACCGTCACATTTGCACCAGTTTAACGTTGGTTCTGTTCCCCAGGAGAACTGCTCGGCTCAGGTGCTGCCTTGCCCTGCAGGACCCTGGTCGGGCACGTCTGCCCACCCTCTGTAACTGACCCTGCTTCTCGTCTCTCCCCTCTGTCGTGCACAGATGAAATCCTCCGACGTGGACCAGGAGCTGTTCACTGAGAGTTACTGCAAGGTGTGCAGTGCCCAGCTCATCTCCGAGTCCCAGCGCGTGGCCCATTACGAGGTAGGATGTTCCTGTCTGGGGCTGTTTTCCGCAGTTCCGCTCCGAAAACTCGGGATTCGAAGAACTGTTCCTGCTGGTGGCGTCTCACCCTGCCAGTGATGTCACTGCAGCCGTGTCTGCTGCGTGTCTGGCTTTTCCCTCTGTCTGAATTTGCCAAGTCAGGCTGCGATTTGAACAGGGCTGAAGGAAACACCGTTAGCAAGGAGAGCAATTAAGAGTGCAGCAAAACGAGCTCAGGTTGTATTAAATTTGCTGCACTGTGCTTTGCTGAGTAGGAATCACTGATTGTGCAGAGAATAGATTAGTGTTTGTGAATGTATTTAAGCACTTAAGAGGTGGCAAGCAATGAACAATTAGGAAGGATGGATTATTAGAGATGCGTTAGAGCAGCAATTAACAGCACTGCGTGTCCTCAAAACAAACTTAAATACGTTCCTATTAAATAAGGAGGAAATTATTGAGGGATATGCTGCTGTAAATCCTTCAGGAAAGGAAACCCACTGCCTCTCCTTGTGTCAGCACCTGCTCCCTGTGCTGTGGGGAACGTTCTCCAGTCTGCAGCAGCCTGGTGTAGATCCTGCCATGGTGAGGGGCTCTCAGTGTTCACCCAGTGAGAGAACAGCCATTTTCAGGTTCAGAAGCAGAGGAGGTGTAGGGTCACTGTGTGTGGCTGTGCAGGAGGGCTCAGGGCACAGTCCATCACCCCTTGCATGGTAGGAACTGTGCAGGGACTGTCCTCCCCTGGGGATGTCAGGCCGAGGAGGGACGTGTGAGGTGGTTCAGCCTCTCCTGGAAGACTCCAGGAGAAGTGATTTATGTCTGCATCATCTGTCTTTACATAGAGTGTCTATACAGAGTAAACTATATTAACTTCATGTATTTGTCATATATAACATAGAGATAATATAGATATTTAGATAATATGGAATAATTTGGTTGGGTTTGGTGGCCTTGGTGGTCTCCAACCTAAACAATTCTGTGACTGTGTGTGAAGAGCTGGGGAGTGAGGGACCTCTGCACTCACAGGAGCTGTATTTTGCCCCTGCTTTTGGGCACTCAGTGCCTGTAGTGTTCCAGCAGGGACCTGGGAGATGAAGTTTCCCCAGACGTTTGCTCTGACTCAAGTGTTTTGTAATGGATACACGGTGGAGACATTTGTGTGGCCAGTGGAGACGTCCCAGCAGCTCAGTGTCCGTGCTCCGAGGATGCTGTGCTGCATTAATTAACAATGGGAACAAGAATGCACGTTCCCTTGTAAGGCACTTTACACGTCTTGTTTTGGTGATTTCCTTAAGAGCTCTCCTGTAACTGCTCCTCAGGCTGCCCGGGGTGTGCAGCAGAGATCCCTGGCAGCCAGTGGGAAGTGGAAGGCTGGAGTTTTAGGGACCCCTTCCAGGTCTTGCTACTGGGCACTGTGGGTGCCGAATTTTTGCCCACAGGAGGCAGGAGCATTGCTGCAGGAATGGGAGCAGCTCCTGGTGAGCGCTCAGCCAATCTCTCCTCCTCTGCGCCTGTCACTGTAGGTATGAGCTGAATCATTAATTCATAGCAGATGTTTTTGAAACGTGGAAGGCAACACGGTTTTGTGTTGTATATTTTAGTGCGAGGTGTTGTGCTCGTTTGTCATGCCCCGCGAAATCCCAGCAGACGCCGGAGACGTTCGGCACAATAATGTCACTCCCAAACCTCGCCTGTGGGTTGCATAACACGGAGCAGAGGGGTGAGGGAGTGAGCTGAGGGGGCTGCTCAGGGTGGCCCAGGCGCTGGGGGTGCCCCTGCCCCGGGGCTGTGCCGTGGAGAGGCTCATCCCTTTGGGGTGCCTGTCCTGCTCACGCTTTGGAGTGAGACAATCATCCTCCTGGCACCTCCTGGAACCCACAGGCACAACCAGAGGCTGCAAACCTGCCCGGAGGTGTTCCAGGGAGGTGGAGCTGGGTGCTCCATCCTGCCCGAGGCTGCCAGTCCTTGCTGCCTGGAGTGTAAAATTCGCTGTTTCTTCCTAATTGACAAAGGAGCTGCTCTCTGTTTGCACACCTTTTTTTTTTTTTTTTTTTCCCTTCTTACTTTTAAAAAGTGTTCTGTGGTTAAAAACTGATTCTTTTCTGCCAATCTGTTTTCAGGAGCCCCCCAGGGTGGGCACCCTGGCTGTCCACAGGCACTGGAGACCCTCAGTGTCCGTGCAGCTGGGGGTGCTGGGGTTTATTTTGGTCAGCATTGCTCTTACCCTTCCTGAGCCAGAGCCTGGAGAGAAAGGGGATTGATCCACTGCCTTGCTAGCGCAGTTGAGTGAGCTCTGCAGCCCTTGTGCCAGGGACTGGAATCTTGGCTCTCTGTGCATGCAAAATAAGACATTTCTCTGTAAGAAAATAGAGGGAAACAGCCTATGAAAGGGGGATGTTTTTATCTTGCCAAACAGGAATAGTCAATTCCAATCGCTGTCTCGTCTCCTTCTCCAAATCACCAACCAATAATTCTCTTCTTCTTCGCTACTTTGCCAGGATTAAAAAATAATTTTATGTCAGTCACGCAATATTAAGCGATATTATTTCCAAGGGCAAGTGTAGTGGAAAAATGACAAAAGGATCGGGGTGTGTGCAGCATATTTTTGCTTCCAACTTGACATACAGCAAATACTGCCCTTATTTCATGTGCTTTGTGCAACTGTGTTTCTGGCTTTGTCTGGTGCTGTGCCCTGGCTTTCCTTCCCACCCCGGGGAAACTGCCAGGTCCTGCCCTCCTGCCCAGGGTTCACCCCAGGACAGAGCTGAGCCCGGTAGCTGCCTTGGGATATTGGTTTGTAATGACATTCCCGAGTGAGGAAAGGCCTTTAACGAGCTCCGTGCCCACTGTGGTGCTGAGGGTCTCAGGGGGTTGATGCTGGGCAACTTTTGTCCAGCTGTGAGAGGTGAGACAAATCTTACTGGGTGGTGTCAATGCCCTAAAGGGCATGCCTTTGAATATTGTAAATGTTAAAGCAAGTGAGTATCTTAATTCATCCTTTGAAGTGTCAGAAAACTCCCTTCCCACCTCTACTCCTGGAATAAAGCATCCGAGTGCGGATGCCTGAGACCAATCCCTGCTGGGTGATGCTCCCTGTGCTGCCCTCAAGTGCCAAGTGTCCCTTCGGTCCCTGGCTCCCATTTCCCAAAAGGGACCAGGGTGACTGACTGGGTAGAGGATCACAGAATAAGGCAGGTGATGCCCCACGCTCCAGGCTGTGCCAGGCAGGTGGTGGCCAGTGCAGGGGGGGTGTTTCACACCTTCTCATGTCCCACTGTCCACGTGCTGTGCTTGCTGCGACGCCACTGAAAGTCTGTGCCCCAGAGATGGGTTTTTCCTTTGCTGTGTCTCTGCATCTCGTCTCCCTCTGGAGCCAGAAGCCTCTTTGCTGCTGAATTCTCTGAGGATCACCCGTAAATTAACACTTCCTTCCAGCTCTGTCTTTGAGAGAGGTTGTATCACTCTGGTGAGCTGCTCTGTAAATTAAAAAGCTAAAAAAAAAAAATAGAGCTATGGTTTCTTAGTTAGCTCCGAGTCCTCATCTCTGTATAGAAGTGTTCACAGCCATTAGGAAGATGTTACCATTTATTTTCATGTTTCCCCTTGAAAATCCTGCAGGAAAATTACCTCATATGCAAAGTTGCTCTCAGATTTCACCCTGAGCTGCACATTCATCACCACGTTTGCTCCTCAGGCTGCTATAATACTTTTCTCCATTGTAATCTTTATTGCTTCAGGTGTTCAGATGGTGCTTTGCTTTGCCATTTAAAATGAGGGAATATGCTGGGTCTGGAGGAGGAGCAGCCCGGGAAGGTGCTGTGCCAGTGTCAGCTCTCCCCCTGAGATGAGGGAATGGTGCTTGAATGCTCGTGGAGCAGCAGGGGAGGGCAGAGGCAAGGCGTGTTGAAATTCAAATGTACAGGGAAGTGGGGAGAGCAAATAAAGTGCGGTGCCCTTTGGCTCCTCTCCGGAGCTGAGTGCTCTTTGGAATTTCTCACCCTGTCTCGGGAGCGGAGCAGGGAGCGCTATCTACAGCCCCATCAATACTGCTCGTCTGCGTGGGCTGGAGCAGTGCTGGGGTTAATCTGCTTCCAGTGGGGCTGTCCTTGGCTGGAAACGGCATGAAGCGATGGCTTGTCTGAAGGAATAATAAACATTGTTTACTATTGGCACATTAGTGCCTTAAGGATCAAGATGTGTGTGCTCAGAAAGGCAATCCTGTGTCTGAAATATTAATGCGCCGCAAGAGCACATACTCTATTTAACAAAATAAATGCTGGGCTAGAAAGCAAGGAGCTGGAATGTTCTGTTTCTGCTCCCAGCTCCCTGCGTGAGATGCTGCAGGCATTTCCAGGATGGAGGAGTGGAAAGGATGTGCTTCTGCTGGAAATAAGGGCTGCACTGGGCTATCGTGTGTCGGGGCTCTGCTGATGTCAGTGACCATGGAAGGGAAGGTGACATTTGCTGGCCATGAGCTCTCTCCTATGTTCTGCCACTGCTGCTGCTCACCTGTCACGTTGTGTCTTGCTTTGGTGGCAGTAATGTGTAAATCCTTCAGAGGATGAAGGAGGAGGGGACGTCCTACCTGTTGTTCCTGTGTCCTTCCCCGCCACCGCTGGAATCTGCTCTGCCATGGTGTTCGTGGTTTTTGGTGGTTGCTCAGACATTGCTGTTATCCTGCAGATTGTGCTGGTGTTTGGTAGAACCTTGGCTTGAGGAGGAAAAGCTAATGAAAGCGTGTTTGTGTTGCAGAGATGATGAAGGTGCTGCTCTGTTCTTTGTCTGTGCCCACACAGGCCTCCTGCAGATTCCTTGGCACCCAGTTCGTGTCGTGGTGACAGCCCCAGCTAAAATATGTTGAGGTAAATGTGGTCACCCACTGTACATGAGGGAGGTAGGTGGGTGCCAGTGTTTTAGGGCATGGGGCTCGTGCTGCCATCCTGCACAGAGCCCATATGGACACGCAGAACAGTGGCAGCTGCTGGGTCACGTGTGCTGCA